TCGTGGCGGTTGTCTAGTGGATTGTCATTATATACTCAAGTCAATTTAATAATATTCAATAATCCTGAGATTAAATGAGAGCTACGGCAAATTACTGCATTTACAGTGTGTCATTCAGGATGAACTATTTAAACATAGTAGGGCTGTATATATATATATATATATATTGCCCAGCCCTACTATGTTTAAATAGTTCATCCTGAATGACACACTGTAAATGCAGTAATTTGCCGTAGCTCTCATTTAATCTCAGGATTATTGAATATTATTANATTTAGATGCTTCTTATGAGACTTGTGTTTTGTTTTGGTAAGAATGGTTTATATCGTCAGTTAGCTGAGATTATTTCCGTTAATCTGGTATAACACATTAATAGGTTCTTAAATATTAAGATCCCCTGAGACACAGTGTCCTGAAAAAAAAAAACAGGGTCCCTTGGGGCTTAACAGGTTAAAACAAAAATGAGAACTATATTTCAATGAGTAAAGTTTACAAGTTTTATGTTATTTTCAGATTCTTAAAATTATTTTTTAAATAGTATTGTTTCAATTATTGCTGAGTTCTCTAGTGATACCTGTCCACTTCCTAGAGCTGTTTGCACCTGTTTGGACCTTTTAGTGGCCACTACAAACAGAGCCTAACAATGGTCACATTATGAAAGTTACTACTGATGACAGAAGGAAAGGAATAAGTAAGTGGATAAAAATAAAGAATGCAGAAGCTGTCCTCACAAGGACTCCCTGAACGGTTTGATGAGTTGTTGAATCATAGTCTGTCCTTCACAGTCACCAGAGCGAAGTCAATTCGTTCAGTTTAATTAGCAGTGACATTCCAAAGTGGCAGTTTGATTGACATGCGTCAGAACACGTAATATATTATTTACTGCTCGTATTATTACCGGTCACTTAAGTGCAAAACCTGTTTGAGAGGACAATCTGTATAGGATACTGCATCAAATTAGGATTTGTATCGTTCTACACAGACTCTCTCTCTGGAGCAGTGTGCAGCTACTATTCAGCACCCCAGGAGCATTGTGGGAGATCGGTGCCTTGCTCAAGGGCACATCCTCAAAGGAAATGGCACATCTGGCATGTATTTACAGGCTAAGATACTGCTGCAAAGTGTGTATATTGGCATTTGGAAGCAGCCACAGTCTTTGCGAAATATGATTTCTAACCAGGAGACCAATTTGTTGTCATTTTGAACTTGTCACATGGACGCTCGGCCAGAGCCCATTGGCTTACCCTTTTAACACACTGTGAAGCCATAAGCATGAAACCATTATTCTCTATTACCCTCAAGGATCCAAATCATGAAATCTGATACAGTAAGTCTTGTTGACCTTTGGTTTTTTACCGAACACGAGCAGCGCTCTCCTGGGTACAAGACATGCATTTATTTGGCCCACCCCTCTATCTCAAATACCTACCTACTTGGACTGCGTTGCTCTTTTTTACTACATCAACACATTAGTACGTTTCCCAGCTGCAGAATGAAGAAAGGATGTATTGAGGAGTTGCTCTGAGCCCCCTGCTGGATATGTTTACATTGGAGGTAGTTGAGAGCCTGATTTGTCTCAAAAAGATGCAAAAGGGTAACTTGTGTGTCAGTATTCGACGCAGGGGTCCGTGACGTAATGTTCGTAATTGACCAAATGAGTGGATTAAAATTGGACTAAAATTCCAAATGAAGACAAGGTTTAAGCCTTCTTTCCTCTATGAAGTTTGACCATAAAAATCCCAAAGTTGTTGTTTTATTCCAAAGGCACCACACAGTTTTTCTATCACTTAAAATAGTCTTTCATTATGTTTATTTATATTTTCTGGGCCAATGCTGCGTTAATATTACATTTAACATTAATTTCTCTAAAGACATATTTTTCAGTCTTTCATCATTTGTTTTTCTCAAGGTTACATATAATTAAGTTAACAAAACAATTTATTTTCACTGTGTCACAACCAATTTGACACTGTTGCCCATCCAAATGTAACACGACCGCAATAATTACTCATGACTTCAAGTCACAAAAGTGCTATTTCTGTTAAATTAGCAAATGACTATCCTCTGAAACAAACATTGTTAACTGTGGCCTTGTTCTAGCTTATTACCAGAATAAAGTGTACATCTGAGTGTCACATTTGACCCTGAATAAAGAATATACTGTAGAACCACTGTCACGGTCTAATTGTGTGAAGACCTCACCACAAACACATCGTTGTTTGAACCCGGCATTCATCTCTCAAAAGCACTGCTTGTTGCTGAGAGAAAGGCATCTCTATGCTATGAAAAGAAACACAAATCCATATATATCACACACACACACACACACACACACACACACACACACACACACACACACACACACACACACACACACACACACACACACACACACACACACACACACACACACACACACACACACACACACACACACAGGCTTACAATATCACATGTCTTGACAATGACCTCACACACATACAGGCCACAAAAGGCTGGACTTTTAATGTGACTGTACACAGTGCTGCCACCCGGCACTCAGACACAACTAGCACTATTGTTGCTGCAGTGCTGCGCCCATTCAAGGGCTTTTTAATGGACTTCTGCCTGCTGCCTGTAACCGAGGGTAACTGACTCAGTGACTGCTCAAGCCAGCGGTACTACCTTACCCTCAGCAGTGATTCACATATTCCTCAGAAACAGTCAACATCGCCCTGCCAGTGGATTCACTCATTCACAACTAATCGAATTACTCTGAACATGACTCAGTAATTGGTAGATTCAGAAAGAATTCCTTTGTGGGTGCGAGGGAATGCTTTTTCCGAAGTAAAGGACTGCTTGTAAATAGAAACGTGTATTATATGTCATTAGATTAGAAGAGCTCACTCACTGTTTTTGTGAAAAAAATTAATGTCTTAATTAAAACAGTACCGCCTTATGCCAAGTCATCAGGATGACAATGCATTAATTTTATGAGGATTTTAATTCATTGATTTATTTCATATAACTTTTTTATGATTAACATTAACTTGATGGCACTGCGTACTCCGATCAGCACTCCCGGTCTCCGTAACACGGCTAATGAAGTGCTTGACCTTTTGCGACTGAAGACGCCCACTCAGCTGCTTAAACTCCAGCAAACTATGTCAGCAAACAGTAATTCCAATTACATTGGATAATTACACAGATTGCTTTTTCTTTCCAGCCGAAAGAAAGATGAAAGCAATTGGAAAGGTATACAAAAGGAAACTTTGCTCTTAGTTACTAAAAATATCAAAAAAAGGCTCATTGATGTGAAGCAGAGAGGGATTGCCTCAGTGGAGTATTGTTTTGTTTCAGGAAAAGTTTTATCCTGCTTGTAAAACAAGTATTCTAAATGATTACATCAAAGTGTTTACAGATTTAATTAAAGACTTCACAGAATCAGTCACGTTGAAGGCCACTTCTACCACAAACAGAAAGCATCACAGATTAGAAATGTCAGTGTTTTCACCATAAACTGTATTCACTGGAGCCTTAGCATCAACATACATGATGAATGATCCAATGAAAAGCTCTTTGTACGACAGTTAGCATCAGGAATAAAAAAAGGGTCCCCAGTGATCACTCGTGATAAGATTTCACTACCTATCTCTATATGCAAATAAAGATGTACAATATTTCAATTTCCAAGACCAAATCTGTTGCTGTTTTGAAAAATGCGTTATAAATAGAGCTTGGCAATATATCTGTGTTGTATTGATTTTGTGATATGAGACACGGTATGGTCTAAAACTTTAATATTGGAATTGTTGTGTTTTTCTGGTTTCAAGGGCTGCATTACAGTAAAGTGATGACCCTTTCTGAACTCACCATGTTGTAAATGTTCTGTATTTTCATTTACCAAATTCGTTATTATATAAAAAATACCGATGGTATTGTGTAAGTACTTTGTGAAAGCATTAACAGAGAACCATACAATATTGTCACAATATCGATATTGAGGTATGCCCTGCACCAGATGTACCGGTGCATACCTGACCGGCACACCAAACCAGGACGAAACAATTTGTCCTTTTCAAATATCTGCCAATACAGATTAAATCCAATTAACAAACTAATAAAATCTTTACAGACCATCAACCTTTTTACATGATTGAGAATTTCTTGGGATAGCTCTACTTTTTGTCCCCTTAAATTGGACTCACTGCAGACTCAACGCTAGACAGGACATGCTAATTAGTTAAAAAATCATTTCAATATTTCTGCCGCACACAACATAAACATCTTACACATACTGTCAAATATGTTACTAAAGCTTTGATACTTTCTTACAACTACACAACAAAATATGTCTGGTCAAATGTATCTTAGACCACCTTGGCGAGAGGTACCGGTACTCGTGATTGTGTTTGGTTAAAATTACACTTGTATTTCCTGCTGTCCACCTCTGATCTGATTGCCCATGATGCATTCTAAATAATTGGTTTAACAGGGTCTCATGAAGAACACAAAAGCAAAATAAATGTCCACATATCCCAGAAAAAGAATGTAGTGGCCATCAAGACGATGTGTGATTCAGCCATTCAATTTTCCGCTTTGCTGAACATGCCTCTTGGCAACAGTGTTACAGTAACTAACTATGACAATTCGCCAAGTATTTCTGTTGTATATTTTGACACATATTTACACATTACAAAAGGAAAGGTCATCGCCGTCAAGCTTTCTTCTACTTTGTGTTTAACACCGCAGGTTTAAATAAAGTGTATAATTAACTTGTTTAACAGCAATGCAGGTTTATGTTGGGGACATTGTGTGGCTCTGATGAAATCTTCCCGCTCAATGAGAATGGATGTCACTGTCATTGTAGTGTTGCTTGTTACAATAAACTAGAGAACATTACATCAGTCAGTCACCTCTAGCAATTTTTTCATCATTTGGTTTTAGTCCTTTGAAGTAATGCGTCACTCTATAATTATAAATCTGTGTAGGCGCCATAATGTAAATGTACATACCAGCAGGACAGGCGCCCTCTGACATAATGAGTACTTCAGACTGCTTTTTGCAGGCATCCCTGCGCAGGAAACACTCGTTCTGGTAGTTCTGATTGTTGGAGCCGCACACTGGGGCATAGTCATTGTTGCACTGTGGAGAGGAGAGAAAACAGGAGAGAGGGTGAAGGATAACAAGTCGAGGACGACACATGAAGGCATTCTGAAAAAAACTATTCTGTAATAAAGTGTTCAATATTTAATTTCACGATAGATGCCATTGTTTCGGAAAGGGCAAGTACTTATTTGAAGTGCTTGAACACATGCTCTTTGCGAGGCCATGGTAAGAAGTTAACTTCATTTTATTGCTGCCACTAATAAATGTTAAACTGAATGTTATACGCACCAACTTTTGTTCACCCTATAGAAAAGCCAAAAAAAACCTACAAATGCGATCTAAGAATTAAAAATCTAAATACACATAGATTACAATTGAAAAGGGAAATCAAGATGTAGTTGAAAATAGACATTATTTTACCTTTTTTTGTATAAAAGTGGATTTTGTTTCGCACAATATTTTTGTTTAAACTCTAAACAACATAAAATACAGCCTTTAATCTTCATACGATATACATACATCACAACACAGAGTTCCTGTACAAAGTTAAACAAGCAAAAATTCTACATAATAAAGAAACAAATTAAATGAAACACGCTCGATTTCTATAACAAATGGTAATGTCATACAAAGTAGAGTACATTGTTTAAAGGAAGGGCAAGGCACCTTTCAACACAAGGCAATTCAAAGTGCTAAACAAATAATGAAAAACATTAAGAGCATTAAGATATGAAGAATCAGATTATAAAATGATAACTATAAACATATAAAACTGGTCATTAAAAGGCGAAGAGAGCTTTTGCGATGCTAACTTCCAGGTTGGTATAAAAAACGAAGACATATGGTGCATATGGAAATAAAGTCTATGAATCATTGAATTCTTGAAAAATAACGTCAAACCACACCCTGGCTATCAAGATGAAGCAGACTGTCGATTTGAATCTTAAATTATTGACAAGTAATACCTGTGTAGGATTGTTACTTTGTTGTTGCCTATTTAGCCTGTTTTCTTACCACATTTTTGATTCACATTCTTTTAAATGCAGCATTAAAACCCTTAGAAATCTGCTTCTAGTGTGGATCATCTGGAGCAGCAGCAGGTAAAGTGACTTGCTCAAGGGCACTGAGTTAGTAATGGCTGCTATGCTACAAGAGACCCTTAACATTCATTCCCCACATGGTTTGTTGGCTTGAAAGCAACTCTAGATTTCTCACATGACTGATGTCACTAGAGCGCCTGATCTCACAGCCGTTTTCCTTTTTTCGGGCCGTGGAGGAGAGATATTCATTTGATTTAATATCGATTCCCCCGTGCTACACGGCAGGAATAACAAACATGATTATTCAATTGAGAGATATTCCCCTCTATTCCCTGGGAAGAAGGAAAGGCTATCAGACGGTCCAGAGAAATTGTCGCTCGGCAGTCACAGCCCATATCCTGATTTAATTTAAAAGTGCTGAAAAATGAGCAAAATGTGAAACTGTGTTGCTGCTGGTTGTGACATCACAAGGACAAAGGGGCTCTTTGGGTGTCCCAACAGGACTGAGGCTAAGGAGCTCAGGGCTCTTTGTCTCCACTGTTGTTCCCCTTTAAATCTCTAATGGATTGAACTGGAATCTGTTCTCATCAGTGTGTGACCTCGCAGAACACTACATGGCTCGCACAAAAGCACATGACTACAGACAAGCATTACATGTGTACAGACACATGACACTCCCATGTACAACATGCTAGATACAGGCTGATTGTACATCCACACTAAGCCAGCATGAAAATACACTACATTTTTCCATTCTGCCCTTGACTCACAGTAAGCCGTTTGAAGACATTCGCCAAAGTAAATGGATTTTAAAATGTCTGCCTTGAGTTTTAGTTTGAGTGGCCCATGGTGGTGGTGGGGTTATGGTATGGGCAGGCGTATGTTATGGACGATGAACACAGGCCACTCGATTCACAACATTACCCTAACCCTAACCCTAACCCTAACCCTAATCCTAACCCTCACACCAGATACTGACTGGTTTTCGGACCCCCCCAGACCCCCCCAATAAAGCAAAAATGCATGTTTCAGAGTGGCCTTTCATCGTGGCCAGCCTAAGGCACACCTGTGCAATAATCATGCTGTCTAATCAGCATCTTGATATGCCACACCTGTGAGGTGGGATGGATTATCTCGGCAAAGGAGAAGTGCTCACTATCACAGATTTTTTCAAATTTGTGAACAATATTTGAGAGAAATGGTTATTTTGTGTATATAGAAAATGTTTTAGATCTTTGAGTTCATCTCATGAAAAATGGGAGCAAAAACAAAAGTGTTGCGTTTATATTTTTGTTCAGTGTAAGTGTAACCGATCACGCAATACGGTCTTGTCATTGACTTAGAAAACATTTTGATCATTAAATAGTGATTTAAGTCAGTGGTTCTCAACTGGTGGGTCGTGAAGTCAAACCTTTATTTTGGAGGCCCGATTTTCTAACGCTGTGCATGCAGTAGTAGCTAGGCGTTGGATTGGAAGTACCGGAGACCATAAACGGTTTTGATAACTTCTGTCACGTAGCGATCATCTTCTCAATAAAACATCTTTGCTGATTTTTTTTCAAGTCCGGCCAATCAGAATCAAGATTGTTGCCGGAGGTCCTTACGGCGAATAACTTTGCGTTATAACTATTCTTTATACATCCATGGGTACAACTTCAGGTAAAAATGAACACATAATGAAATATGACCCCCGGTTTGATGATTAACAGGTCACAGAAAAATGTGAGCTATCTACCCTTACCCACAATTTAAAGTAAGTCATACAGACTATCTCCTCTTTACTCTTCTCTCTGTGAGGAGCAGCAAGTTCAGCTGTCAGAACAAAGTGAAACACAAACAATGGCATAAAATATTATTAATATTCCGGGTAGTAATATATTTATTTATTTTCTTCTCAGAGTGTACCAGAATGCATAGTTTATTATTTATTATTTATTTTGTTGAATACATTTGAGTGGTTCAAAATGTCGGGTCGCGATTTATTGACAAAGTAAAAAGTGGGTACCGAGGCCTGACCAGTTGAGAACCACTGATTTAAGTGACATTTCATCCAGCAGTAACTGTTCACATGGGTAGAAATACAGATGCACAGGACCTATAAACATTCACATTTGAATACACACATGCATTTTCGTTACGGAGTGGTGTCAGAGCAAAGACACTGCCAGTTTTGGTCAAAGCGTTGGAGGTTCTGTGCTCAAGGGCAACTTGGCAGTGATCAGGAGGTGAACCGCCACCTCCTCAGCTACCAATCAACATCTTTTATTTCAGGTCCGATCAGGAATTGAACCGGAGACCCTTCAGTACCCAAGCCAAGTCCCTACAATCTGAGCTACTGCTATTATATTTTGGGGGGAAAAACTCAACAAATAACAAACATTTCACCTCTGTGCTGATGCTTCGAACCTGTCCAGTCTTTTATATCTCTGTCCAACCCGTTGTACTCAGAAATATTTATCGTATGAAAGCCTGTCTCACCAGTTGAAACTTCTCTATAAAAGCTGAGAACTCAAAAATATAAATACAAAAAGGTCCACAAACATATGTATATCTATCTCTTGTGGGTCATAATAACAAAGCAGGAGGTCATTTTTTGCTTAAGTTTATGGGTTTAAGTGCCCCGTGATTGCCCATGATACTCTTCTACCAAGTTTCATGAAGATCAGGCCAGAAGTCTTCCTACTCTTCCTGACGAACAAACCAACATACCAAACCGAAAAAATAACCTCTTTGCGGAGGTAAAGAAAATAATATTCTTATGTTCTTCAATTTTTCTTCACTATTTAATGTCATAACACAATTCCGCCTACTCAGACTTTTGGACTCTAGTAAAGTCCACAAAGGACACCAATTCTGAAAGAACATATTTGACATCTTTGATTATGTTGTAAGTTATCAAATATCTTAGGAAATTAGGCTGTATTAGAACATGCTCGACTGATCGTAGAATCAGCTTGTATCGCTCCTCATCAGAGGTTGGCTGAGAGTTCTGTTGTTTCACCACCAACAAAGAAGAAGAGATTCAGCAACTTTCCTTTGGTTTAGGTGTTTGAGCGGAAAGACTTGAAAACAGTAGTGTGAACACACATCGTTTTCACACATTAACTGCCTTTCAAATTTAGCTGGCTTAGTGAGAATGTCATTTGAGACCCACACAGACACACACAAGGTCTGATGGCCGCAGGGAGGGGCGCTAAAATAACCACACCATCGATTCAGGAGCATCCGAAGGATCCTGTATGAACACTGTCTTTAACCAGCTGAGAGGGAGAAAGATGGCACACAAAGACAGTCAAAAGAAGAGGAGGAGGAGTGAAGAAGGGAAGGAGAAACCGCAAGCATGGCTCTTGATCAGAGAGATTGAGACACAGGAAGTGAAGAGGGTGTAGAGAAGACGAGAGGCAAACACCATGAGTGAAATTGGGCTTAAGGGGGGAGAAGAAGTCAGTGGAAATGGAGAGTGAGTAAGAGGGGGTAATGGATGTAGAGAGAAATACAGAAGTGAGATGTAGACGGCCACGGGGAGAGATTGAGGCCTGGCTCAACAAACTTGGCAAGATAAAAAAGAACCATAGTGCCTGAAGGAACCACGGCACGCAAAGAAAAGAACATCACGAAATAAAATATAAAAAAGAATGAGGGGAAGAAACGGGGACACGGACAGACAGAGAGGAATAGAAAATCCCCTCAAAGGGGAGAATGAAAAAATGGCAACCCCACAAAGGCGCTTGGAATAGCTTACTACAGGGCCCGCACTTTTTTTTGTCATCCTCTATCCCCTCCCCCTCGCTCACACACTCTCCCATCTGGCTCAGGCTTTTCTTAACCTGGGGCCTCTCGCTTTATGCCAGGCATGATGCAATGGAAGGGAAAGCTGCCCGGCAGAACCCTACGGGTATCTTTTTAAGAGAGCCTTCTTTTGCATTAAAACAACCCCCCACCCCCCATCTCTTGATCTTCTCCAGTATTTGGCGTTCCCCCCTTGCGGAAAGGAGAGGAGTGATGAGAGGATGGCTGATTTAAAACCTCTGTATCCCTGAGGAGGACGTGCAAGACGGGTGCAAATTACAGTCTTACCCAATATTCCTACCAGGGTTTGAAGGAGGATCCTGCGTCTTAAAGCATCTCTTTTATATTTTAGATGAACTGAGCGATTTAGACAGGTATGGGGCGGAAATAAATTGCCAAACAGAAAAACAAGACAAGACATAAAACATTGTCTTTATATTGAGTCTCTCAACTGATCTTGAACCGGCCTACTTGAAAAAACTTGACACTTATCTGCCAAGTTCTTATTTATTCATCTGGGAATTCTCTTGACGTGACAGTGAGGAAGGGTGCGAGCTGAGGTTATGGATTTCAAACTTTTCAAAGTGACTTGAGTTTCTCTGCGTGGCAATGCTTTACACAGCACATGACAATATTAGAGACAAAGGCGTTCTTGTTGAAGCCCTTCGGAGAAGCTTTGATCATTGAATTCCTTGATAACTGGCAGCGTGTGATGCTGGCGGTCTGCTAACATAAGCTTCGTCAGCTGTTGCACTTTACCGTAAGTCGGGGCAAGAGGACTGTCAGCTAAATGTTAATGGAGGAAAGGAGAAAGGGGCCAACAAAAAAGAAAGTCTGGAGATGTGTTTTTGAAAGATAGGGGAGGAAGTATGTAAATGAGACAAAGTGAATGAGACAGAAGGTGAGAAAATGTGATTCTTCATGGTTCTCTGCAGACAGGGTAGCAGGGGCCATCGGTCAGGCCATATGGTACGGCCTTATGTGCCCGCTGGCTTAAGCTCCGCAAAAGTTGCAGACATTGCCCCACACCTCTGCTGTGACAAAACCTGGACAGTGGCGTGGCGTCTCGACCGAGAACACAGCAAGAGGTGTCAACAGTCCTGTGTTTGTGTGCTCATTTTCTTTTGTGTGTGCACCTGGTCATACAAGTATGTTCTCTAGTTGCAGCATCCGTTGTGCATTTATTTCCATTCTTTAATTAGTTTTATAGACTTTCCAACCCATTCTGTTCTGTGAAATCTTCCACTATCCTCCTGCAGGGGCTGCTGTGGTTCTGCCTTCCCTCAACTTCCAATAGTTAAGCTTTGGGACTGCAGCCAGGACCTGTTGTCTCTCTACCTGCCTGGGAACGCTGCATCACACACATGCACAGACAAATGCACAAATACAGCAACCAGCACTTTTTTCCGTATGAGCATTTTGTAGAAATGCACAAAAGCAAATAGGCATCCGCACCTTACCAGGTCACAACACACAACAACCTTGCAAAACAAGCCCAACAATCATCATTCATTTTGTGCCTCTAACAGCTCCCAACGCTGACTTCACAGAGCGTCCGACATAACTGCCGGCTGACAGTGGGGGAACAAAGACAGGTGGTGGGAGGAGGAGGAGGAGGAGGAGGCGGAGGAGTAGGGGGAATGCAGAGTGAAAAAGCAGGTTTCAAGAGTGAGAAAAAGGAGGGATGTATACGGGATGGAGGAGAAACGAGATGTGGGGCCAGCATGGTGGGGGAGGGTAGAGAGGAGTTAAGAAGGGTGAGATTGAAAGGTGAAAAAGTGGAAGTGATGGAGGCGGAAGGATGACAGGAGTGTGGCGAGGAGAACAGTGAGGGGGAGCGGCGAGGGTTAGCACAGCAGAAACGGCACGACAGGAAACCGTACGAGTTGGAGACAAAGGAGAGGAGGGATGCAAAGCGAAGGCGAGTGCACGCATCAGCGTGACTATGTATCGGAGGGAAGGAGCCTGCCAATTTGAGGGGTAGAGCTCTGCGAAATGCAGCCAGAACAAACATGACAGCATATCAGCATCAATGAGCGAGAAAACAAATGATTCAACGGTCCGTCCAACGGAGCCCCGCTCCAGCCCAAACCACGCAATCTGCACATATGCAAAAATGATCATCGTTCCAAGCAACAATTAGTCAGACATGCCATTGGTGCAGATTGGAGTCACACTGAGGTGTGTGTGGACTGCAGCACAGCAGGGGGCATCATATTGGAGTGAGATATCAACTGAAAACATTTGTTATAGTTTGTTTTTAAATACGTATTCTACATACAATAATTGTCATGAAATGTTTAATTGTAAAGTAAAAAGCGGAACTACAAGTCAACATTCTAACAAATAAAGCTTTGTATTCTGAACCGCATGCTGGTAAATATGCAGCTCCCTGACAGCAGAATTTGATGCAGTATGATGAACAAGTCAAACTTGTATCACTTTGTCAGCTCTTTAATCAACACCTGTTCATTATATGTTCATTATAATATTTTTGACAATTATGTGGTTAGTTTACAACCACTTTTTGACTCAGTATCAGTGCATCTTAAATATTTATCACCAATAAACAGCAAGTAAAAGACACTACATAATTGACTATTTTGCAATCCATCTGGTAGGACAAATTTGGCAGAACAGTAGGTATTTGCAGCTACCTTAATGAGATCTAAAAAATGCTGTGCTCTCAGCTGGGAGTCCCTTCAGACTGATGGTCCCTGCAGTCTGCCCCGTGGGTCTGATGCCAGGTTAATAGTACTTTAAATACCTTTTAAAGGGAGGCACCCAGGGGGACAGCTTCACCAGGTGCCTAAAGCTCTTTTTCAGATGAGGTAACTTTGTGTATTTGTTTCAGGGCTGAACCATTTGGAGATTTTTTTGCAGAACTGAGGTAGGGAGTTACAGCTCTAATAAGTTGTTCAATTGTTTACATTTTTAATAATAATAATGTACGAAAATGCTGCTTTCAGTGAGGCGGATAGAATTCTTGTTATTTTATACTATTA